AGAGAGAGAGAGAGAGAGAGAGAGAGAGAGAATTAGCAAAAGAGAAAGGGGAGAGACCACGAGAGCCCCCACTCATGCTTGGGAGCCACCAAACTTTAGCAGTCATTTCTTTCTTATTCTACCTCTGACACTAAGTGACCCCCAGCTCATGCAATAGCAATTATTTCGACTTCTCTTTGAGATAGATGGGTATATTTTTTCATTAAAAGCAAAACATATGAACAAGCTTTCCGGTGATTCCAATTCCTCCATTTAACCAAAAGCTAATGAGAACATGATTCCACAGTGTCCTGACATAAATATTTGTTTTTTTTCCTCAGAAGTAGATGGGCAACGCAAAAATACTGACAACCATACCATCTATCAAGACAGACACAGTACTCCTGTCACATTCAAAATATGTGTCACGACGTGGTTTAATCAGGCGCTCATCAATTGTTGTGCTCATATCGTTTTGATATCATCTTAAAACCTGTTCATTTGACTTCCTTTTGGTGTGAGAAATATCCATCAACGTTGAATATAAGTCGAAATATTTGCGACTGAAGGAGGTCAGAGTCACTTTGTTTCAGAGATAAAATTACCTAGCGAATGTCCGCAAAGTTTGCTACAATATTCTACAGTCCGTCTGTGAGTCCGTGGAAACTTAAAAGTTACATCTTTAGGACCTTTAATCGATGTCTTTCAGTAAAATTCACACAAAAATGTGTTTTTACATGGACGTAAAAGGTGATGAGCCATAAAAACAAAACAAACCTCAATAAAAACATTGCCCATGTGCAAAAAGAAATTGCCGATTTCTTTGATTTTAATATTTTGACGAGCGCCTGATTTCACCACGATGCCTAACATTTGTTGAGTCAAGTTGAACTAAAACTGTAATTATTTAATTCGAACAAATATGCAGTTACACGTCATCGTGATGCAGTCATAGTTGATATTTCACGTCGCCATCGACCAAATTTAGATCATAATTTATGGGGCGCACTTCTTTGATTCAGCCTGTTGGAGAATCCAGGCGGAGGAGGAGTACATTAGTCCAAGCAGGCAGCCGAAGATAAACGATTATAAAAAAAAATAAAACAAACAAAATACCCCCCCCTTCCCCCATAAAAAAAAAACCTCACCCAAATCAAACAAACAACAAAAACCGTCCACAAAACTAAATTCGAATTGACGTCTTCTTCGGACTACGACGAAGTGACAAACCCTGCACCATAGACGCCGATACAGATATATAGACATCGCTGAAAACATCAAGGGTCGAGTAAACATTTTAATGATCAGGACCAGGCGAGTACAGCCAGACCACTCCGCTGCCTTTCTTGTATGTGAACCACAGACTTATATAATATGACATCCTAGACCATGCACTGTGATGTATTTCCGGTTCACCATGGAGAGGGTCAAAGAAAGGGCAAAGTGGAAAAGGTAGCACGTAGACTCCACTCTTGCGAGAATATTCTTTTTAGTCTTCATTTGGACTTGGGTGTAATTGCTCTACCATGGTGTGCATGCTTCGCAGCAAATTTTTAACTGAAGGGGAGGGGGTAAGGAGGGAGCACAAGTTTATCAAGTCAGTGATGCTAAATTAGAAATATGTGTATGTCTGTTTATATGGTTGTTTTGTTTGGGGGAGGGGGTGTCTTTCTTTTT